ATAATTTATCCTATTGAATTTAAAATGGATATTTTTTTTAGTTTTTTCCTCTTAATGGAGGCTTACAAGAAAAATTAGATACTAATGAAAGTAAAATATTTTAAACTAATAAATCTTAAATATCATAATTTTCTAGCGAGACTCTTAATTTTAGATGTGGATTAGAGTATATGCATCCTTATATTCATTTCAAATTTGTAGTGTGAAAAGGGAGGTTTATGACCTTCCTATAATTATACCATCTCCATATAACTTAAAAGTTTTAACATCCTATGTCTAGATATGCCAATATTCCATCTCATTACTCCTATTTATTTCAATATTCCTTTGTCGAGGTAATATATCACACTATATATTAACTATATATATGATCATTATATGCACTATATTAAGAGCGAGATATATTGAAAATATCTATGAATTAATTTAAAATAGAAGAGGAGCGAAAGCACGGTATCGCTTGGTGCGTTTGCGCTTGAAGATGACAGGGGAAGGGGAAGGGGAAGGGGAAGGGGAAGAGGATTCGCCAATGCTGCTGGAGCTGATGGAGTGAACCATGGCGAGAGAGTGAGAAATTATGAGGGGAAGAAGTTGGAGGAATGGAATATTATGGTATGGCAACGGTAATAAGTAGGAAGGTGGAGGAGGAAAGGCGGTGTTTTTGTTATGGAAGGGAGAATTAGGTGGGAGGAGGAGTGGTGTGGAGTGAAGAGAGGGCGGAGTGGAAGGAACGATCGCAAGAGGACAGAGTGGAGGAATAACTGAAAATCGGCTATATATGGAAAAGAGTGCAGTTTTGACACTTAAGCGGAAGGTTTGGTTAAGGCGAGGATGGCTCTGGCCGGAGTACAGCACAAGTGGCAGCGGAGCACTATACCAGCCTAACAGAGTTGGGCTTTTTCCTTAGCCACTAGTGGAGCATTAAAAACGGAGGACAGAGAGGCATAATTTTCTAAAATAATTTTCCTTTTTTTTCTCTTATCACTAATTGCCCTTTTTTATGTGAGAATTATATTTAAATATTTTAAATTTTATTTTTCGAACTATTAAACTTATATATTTTGTGTCAAAAAAAATATGAAATTGAAATTTTATTATGATTTTTAATATTTGAATGAGGATTATAAATTTGGAGAGATAATGGTGTTGGTTTTGTAAATAGAAAAAAATAATAATAGGTGTTATGTATTTAATTATATTTTTAATAAAATTTGCAATTGATTAATAAGAGCAGGGTTTAATATAATATTTATGAAATAATAATAATTTTGATATATAACAAATTTGATATAATGATGTATAATATATATAATTACAAATTTGATAAGGGTGCTAGTTTTGTAAATAGAAAAAATATTAGGTGTTATGTATTTAATTGCTCGTTTTTTACTATAAATTGTCTTTGATTAATAATAGTAATATTTAATATGATATTTATGAAATAATAATAGACATTTGAGAAGGAACGAGTATTGCAAATAAAGGGATGTAGGGCTTCGAGATGATGTAATCCTTAGTTTTGAGTTGTAATATCACATTTAAAACAACTATTAATAATGCAAAATAATTCTTATAATAATTCATGTAATCAATAAAATATCTTTATATTAACTATTTAATTAATAATATTATAAAATAAGATTAATTGCATCACATGAATCAAAGAGATAGATGATAACTCATTTCTAGGTGATATCTTCATCTTTGTTCCAAAGATATAGAAATAGTTGTTCTCTCTTTTGTAATATTTATGCTAGAATGGATTAGTTTTGCCTTGAAATACTATATATTATGATGAGTTAAACTTACTTTGGGTTGAAGTCTTATTTAAGTTTGATGTTCGATTTGATCAAACTCTATAGACGTGTAACTCGCGATCGAATTTGAATTTTGTGCTAATCACTATAAGTAAATATTATTTATTTTGGTATAAGCGTATCCTACCTCTTTAAGAGTATAAATTCATGTTATTTGTAATAGGCTTTTAATAACAGATTATACTGTCAATCCTATTATTGCAAAATCTTCTATTTTATGCATATGCTCATAATGAACTAGTTAGTTTGATAAATAGGTCATTCTTGGTGTATTGTTGCGTAAACTCCCATGCATTAAATTTTTTAATGTTCATTGGATGTAATAAATATCAATTTTATAAGTCATTCTATGATATGAAATAATAATCATCATATTGAAAATATAACACATGTTGAAAAGCATTAATGAAAAATTGAAAATTATTCACATTTGTGCAATGGTATATACGTCAGTAGAAGTCTATTAGATTTCGGTTGGTCAAGCCGACTGATCCCAAAGTAATAACTCTATAGAAAATTACTAGATTTTCTTGGTTTGTATTTATCTTCCCGGTGATAGGTATTTGATAAACCAACTATAGTTGTATGCATATAAATGTATAAATATATATTTGGACATGAATTAAAAATAATGAATGAATAGTATGTTATTTTGAGTTAGAATGGTACATATTGTGTTTGTATGTATAAGCATTGAAATGACTTAACATTAATAGTAATTTGACATATATACTTGTAACACTAGCATTTTAGAATTTAATATAGGAATTATGACATGTGAAGTTCTCATAGTTATATCTATTGATTCGTCATATGCATGTCTCATTTCTTTATCATTCATATTTTGATAGATATGAGTTTCTTGTTGGGTTAGATTTATCAAACTCCCTCGTTATTGTCACTTTACACCAAGTCTTGCCGGTGTGTTTAACAGACCATCACCTGATCAAAAGCAGATTTATCAACATTAGATTATATTTGATATTTTATAGAATATTATGATGCATTTGATTTTGAGGGTTGAGTAGTTTCATTCATGTTGTCATTTTTTTGGACTTATTTTGCTTGTAGTAGCTATATTACTTTTGTGTACTATTATTTGAATCTATATTAAAGAAATGAAATACTATTATTTACTTTGATATATTTAATTGTGTTATTTGTTTATGCACTTTTTTTTTTTTGTTGAGCTCTGCAATGCTTGAATCCGTTTCTACACTATTATAAATAATTATTTTTAGTTCTTTTGTAGAGAGTTTTGTCATTTCAATGTAGTCTTATACTTTGTAGTTTCTTTCTTTTGTTTCCCCTTTGAGTAAAGTCTAAGAGAGGTTAGAGAAGAGCAAGATGCTTTTATTGAGAGATCCTAGTGTGTACTATATAAGCAAATCTATTGTTAGATGAAAAAGGAGTGTGGAGAATATCAATTGATTCTTCCGAATTGCATTTATCTTATTCATTCTCATGTATCTTTTTTCTTATATGAATAAAATGAACATGAGTTTGCTTCTTGTATTATCCATATCTAAGTAAATATCTGAGTTTTAGGTTAGTATTGTAAATGTATAGAAAGTACTAATGTAGACTCTTCTATTTTAAATTAATTCATAGATATTTTCAATATATCTCTTTCTTAATATAGTGCATATAATGACCATATATATAGTTAATATATAGGGTGATGTATTACCTCGACAAAGGAATATTGAAATAAATAGGAGTAATGAGATGGAATATTGGCATATCTAGACATAGGATGTTAAAACTTTTAAGTTATATGCAGACAACTATAGTTGGTTTATCAAATGCCTATCACCGAGAAGATAAATACAAACCCAGAAAATCTAGTGATTTCCTATAGAGTTATCACTTTGGGGTCAGTCGGCTTGACCAACCAAAATCTAATAGACTTCTACTGACGTATATACCATTGCACAAATGTGAATAATTTTCAATTTTTCATTAATGCTTTTCAACATGTGTTATATTTTCAATATGATGATTATTATTTCATATCATAGAATGACTTATAAAATTGATATTTATTACATCCAATGAACATTAAAAAATTTAATGCATGGGATTTTATGCAACAATACACCAAGAATGACCTATTTATCAAACTAACTAGTTCATTATGAGCATATGCCTAAAAGAGAAGATTTTTCAATAACAAGATTGACAGTATAATCTGTTATTAAAATCCTATTACAAATAACATGAATTTATTCTCTTAAAAAGGAAGAGCACGCTTATACCAAAATAAATAATAATTACTTATAGTGATTAGCACAAAATTCAAATTCGGTCGCGAGTTGCACGTCTATAGAGTTTGATCAAATCGAACATCAAACTTAAATAATACTTCAACCCAAAGCAAGTTTAACTCATCATAATATATAGTACTTCAAGGCAAAACTAATCCATTCTAGCATGAAGATATCACCTAGAAATGGAATTATCATCTACCTCTTTGATTCATGTGATGCAATTAATCTTATTTTATAATATTATTAATTAAATAGTTAATATAAAGATATTTTATTGATTACATGAATTATTATAAGAATTATTTTGCATTATTAATAGTTGTTTTAAATGTGATATTACAACTCAAAACTAAGGATTACATCATCTCGAAGCCCAACATCCCTTTATTTGCAATACTCGTTCCTTCTCAAATGTCTATTATTATTTCATAAATATCATATTAAATATTACTATTATTAATCGAAGACAATTTATAGTAAAAAACGAGCAATTAAATACATAACACCTAATATTTTTTCTATTTACAAAACTACCACCCTTATCAAATTTGTAATTATATATATTATACATCATTATATCAAATTTGTTATATATCAAAATTATTATTATTTCATAAATATTATATTAAACCCTTCTATTATTAATCAATTGCAAATTTTATTAAAAAAATAATTAAATACATAACACCTTTTTTTTTCTATTTACAAAACCAATACCATTATCTCTCAAATATTAAAATTCATAATAAAATTTCAAATCATATTTTTTTATCAAATTTCCAATAAGCATAGGACACAAAAATATATAAATTTAATAGTTTGAAAAATAAAATTTAAAATATTTAAATATAATTCTCCCATAAAAAAGGGCAATTAGTGATAAGAGAAAAAAAAAGAAAATTATTTTAGAAAATTATGCCTCTCTGTCCTCCGTTTTTAATGCTCCACTAGTGGCTAAGGAAAAAGCCCAACTCTGTTAGGCTGGTATAGTGCTCCGCTGCCACTTGTGCTGTACTCCGGCCAGAGCCATCCTCGCCTTAACCAAACCTTCCGCTTAAGTGTCAAAACTGCACTCTTTTCCATATATAGCCGATTTTCAGTTATTCCTCCACTCTGTCCTCTTGCGATCGTTCCTTCCACTCCGCCCTCTCTTCACTCCACACCACTCCTCCTCCCACCTAATTCTCCCTTCCATAACAAAAACACCGCCTTTCCTCCTCCACCTTCCTACTTATTACCGTTGCCATACCATAATATTCCATTCCTCCAACTTCTTCCCCTCATAATTTCTCACTCTCTCGCCATGGTTCACTCCATCAGCTCCAGCAGCATCGGCGAATCCTCTTCCCCTTCCCCTTCCCCTTCCCCTGTCATCTTCAAGCGCAAACGCACCAAGCGATACCGTGCTTTCGCTCCTCCTCCGTCCACCGCCGCCACCGCCACAGCCGCCTCGTCGGCTTCTTCGAATACCACTGAGGAGGACCATGACATGGCCGATTGCCTCATGCTCCTCGCACAAGGTCCCCCCGTTCCATTCAACGAAGCCGCAGCGCCCCTGTTGAAGCCTACCGGGCCGGCCGGCGTAGCGATAGTCTACAAATGCAAGACCTGCGACAAATGCTTTTCTTCCTTCCAAGCCCTCGGCGGCCATCGGGCCAGTCACAAGAAGCCAAAGCTAACACCTTTCGAGACCGAGCTCCTAGGCACCATGGCAAAACCAATAGCTAATTCTTCTTCAAGCGCCGGCGGGAAAAAGAGAACACATCAGTGCTCGGTGTGCGGGGCTGAGTTTTCCTCCGGCCAAGCGCTCGGCGGCCATATGAGAAGGCATCGTCCGGCTCTTCTTCTAGAGAACAAATTGGAGACTAACAGGACGGAAAATAAAGTTTTGTTGCTTGATCTCAACCTTCCCGCTCCGGCCGACGACGACCCCTTCGCCGCCGACGACGACGACGACGGCGCTAGTCGATCGCAACTTCTCGAGTATTGAATACATATTTATAAAGTTTACTTACATAAGATACTGTGAATTAATGAATAATATTTATGTATCGAGATTTCCGTTTATTGTAAGAAAAATTCATTTGATTCTTTAAAAAAAAAAGTCATTTTTTTCATTTTTAAATGGCAATGCGTTCACGAAAAGGGAGTGATGGAGAAGCTTTTTATTTTGTTGATCTGAGCAAAAGTTGTGCAGAGCCTCCGTTTGGTTTGGTTTGATTTGGTTTCTCCACCGCCAAGAAAAAGGGAGTGGATTAGGTTGCTCTTCTCATGAGTTTGTTTGGTTTATAAGACAACTGTATCTCATTACATTAAATGCCAAAGAGAATAAAAAGGGAGGCTATGAGCAACTGCCCATCTAACAGTCACCCACTACTAACTCTTTCATTTTCATTCATATCTCTAAGGCCGAACTCTTATTACTACACTGTCTCCTAACTTAATCCTCTTCCTCCTCCTCCTCTCTCTCTCTCTTTCATTCCACTTATAATTTGAAAAAAATTCTCTCTCTCATCAAAGTTTCTTTTTCAATAGCTTTTTTAAAATTTTTTAATTATTATAAATGTTATAAAAAATACATTTTTAAAAAATTTAAATAGTATCTTTCTTGTAGCTATCACCTACTAATAGATATGTTTGTAATAAAGTAAATTTGTATCATAAAAATTTCTCAAGAATTAGTAAGGAAGCAATTTGAATATTTCTAATTTTATTTAGGTTTTGTTTGAGGCAGCTTTTTTGCTACTGTATAGAACTGTTTTTTAGTATAAAAATTGATGTGAGACCTGATCGGAAAACCTTCGCGAACACCTGCAACCAAAGACCCTGTTTCCAAAGGATTAAGCAATGGAACAGTAATGATAGCTTAATTTCATTAAGTGGTAAAAACTACTGTGCCTCCTCTCTCGACAAGGCATATAACAGGAGAAAATTAACAATGGCAATATTGAAAATAACTAAGTATTAAGCAAAAACTAATGATGAAGTCGTTAGGAGCAGTAGTGGAGAATAGAAAGTCCTCCAGAGTAGTGGCCACGGTGGCAAGCGTCTAGACAGCAAAAGTGGCCACGGTGGCAGGTCGTTGCCTCAGCGATCCGGTATTCCCTCATGAGCCGCTTATTAACTGGAACCTGGAACCACATCAGGTACCTCCCGCTATAGAAATTTTAGGTTCCACCTGAATACTTGAACTGCCTGCATCATCGGGAGGGTGATAAGGAAAGAGATCCGAGACATTAAAGGTCTTTGAAGTATGCATGGTGTCTGGTAGATCGACGACATAAGCATTGTCGTTAATACGTTTGAGAATAGGCACGGGACCAAATTTGCAAGGACTCAATTTTGAATTTGCTCCGGTGGGAAAACGGTCTTTGCGAAGTCGTATGAGAACTAGATCGCCAGGTTCAAAAGAAACATGACGACGGTGAAGATCAGCGGCTTTCTTGTAGGTGGAATTGGACGTGATGAGCTTCATACGGACTTCATCGGATTGGCATTGATCCGTCAAGGCTGCAGCGGACTTGTTAGCACATTTGGGAAGAATAGCTATATCGAATAAGTGATTCAGAACCTTAGTATAGACGATAGCAAAAGGACATTGTCCAGTTGACCGGTTAGGCATAGAGTTATAAGCAAACTCCGCCTGGCTTAATGCATTTTCCCACTGTTTCGGCTGGTGCTGTACGAGGCAACGCAGCATATTGCCAAGTGTCCTATTAACGACCTCCGTCTGTCCATCAGACTGGGGGTGATAAGCAGAGCTAAGGTTCAAGGAGGTGTGAAGTCGCTTCCACAATTCGCGCCAAAAATGGCTAACAAATTTGACATCCCGATCGGAAGTTATACTCCGTGGGAGTCCATGTAGGCGCACAATTTCATTGAAGAACAACCAAGCGATGTTGACGGCATCAAGGGACTTACGACATGCGACGAAGTGTGCCATCTTTGAAAAACGGTCAACAATGACCATTATGGAATCAGCTCCCCGCTGCGTTCGTGGCAAGCCCAATACGAAGTCGATACTGATGTCCTCCCATATAGAATCAGGGACCGACAGAGGCGTGTACAGTCCGGCATTCTGCTTGTTGCCTTTAAATTCCTGACAAACAGCGCAGCGCTCAACGAAACGGGAGACGTCTCGATGAAGTTTAGGCCAGAAAAATCTAGCCTTGAGCTGTTGAATCGTTTTCTCGTGACCCAGGTGAGCAGCCAATCCGCCTGCGTGAGCCTCTTTAATGAGTTGTTGCCTGTAGGATGATTCAGGAATACATAGTGCGTTCCCTTTGAAGAGGTACCCGTGGCGGATAGAGTAATTTGCAACTGGTTGTGATGCCACACATTGTTGCCAAGGAAGAGCGAAATCTGGATCTTCAAGATAGAGCTCTTGGAGACATTCAAGGCCGGTTAACTCAGTCTAGAGCTGAGTGATAAGTGCGGACCGTGCGGTGCGCCGACTGAGAGCATCCGCAACCCGGTTCTGGTTTCCAAATTTATGCTTCAGCACGAAAGTGAACTTCTGCAAAAAAAGGATCCATCTCGTGTGCATACGATTGATGGTTTTCTGACTGTTAAGGAACTGTAACGCCTTATGATCACTACTCAGAATGAAGTCCTAGTGTAGTAGATAGTGCTCCCAATGTTTCAACGCACGAACGACAGCATAGAGCTCTTGCTCGTACACTGTCCATTTTTGCCTCGCAGTGCTTAATTTTTCACTGAAAAACTCTATGGGACGGTCGGACTGAGATAACACCGCGCCAATTCCGACTGTGGATGCGTCGGTGTCTACTTGGAACGGAAGGTCAAAGTTCGGAAGTGCTAGAACAGGTGCGGAGCTTAAGGCTTCCTTTATGGTGTCCCAACTGCGCTGACAAGATTCATTCCAACGTAGTTGTTTGGCTTTCAAGCAGTCCGTGATTGGCGCCATTATGATACTGAATCCCCGAATGAAACGTCTGTAAAAATTAGCAAGTCCATGAAAACTGCGGACGTCGAACAATGTGCGAGGGATTGGCCAGTCGCGGATGGCCGAGATCTTGCGGGGATCGGTTGCGACTCCATCAGCCGAAACAATAAAGCCCAAGAAATAAACTTGCGCTGTAGCAAATTCACACTTAGATGAATTCAAATAAAGATGGTGTTCTCTAAGTGCCTGTAACACCTTAGTAAGGCGTCCGATATGATCTTCAAAGGACGAGTTGTAGATCAAGATGTCATCGAAATAACGCTGTAGCAAATTCACCTTAGTCAAGGTGTCCGATGTGATCTATAGCGGGAGGTACTTGATGTGGTTCCAGGTTCCAGTTAATAAGCGGCTCATGGGGGAATACCGGATCGCTGAGGCAACGGCCTGCCACCGTGGCCACTACTATGTAGGACTTTCTATTCTCCACTACTGCTCCTAATGACTTCATCATTAGTTTTTGCTTAATACTTAGTTATTTTCAATATTGCCATTGTTAATTTTCTCCTGTTATATGCCTTGTCGAGAGAGGAGGCACAATAGTTTTTACCACTTAATGAAATTAAGCTATCGTTACTGTTCCATTGCTTAATCCTTTGGAAACAGGGTCTTCGGTTGCAGGTGTTCGCGAAGGTTTTTCGATCAGGTCTCACATCAAAAATGTCTAGAAAGTCGTTTTAGAAAGCATCAAAGAATATGCCCCAAACGAAGCCTTAGGATTTGATTCAGATGACTTTTTTCATACAAAAATAAAAAAAAAAAATTGTAAAAAAATATTTAAAAAAATATTTTTGGAAGTAGTAAGAAAACCATCCCAAATGAAACTTTCATTTCAATAAACACACAGCTGTATTTCGTATAATGAGATGAATATTCCTCAATAATAATCCTCAACATTCAAATTAAAAGACAATTCTTTTTTATTTTCTAGAATTAATTTTTTTGGGGGGTCATATCAAGCATTTCTTGATTCCTACCTTACATTTTTAAGTTAAAATTAACTCTAAATATGAGAATAAATTTTTTGCATGCTACCTCTTTGAATGAATTGAAAATCACAGACTTCTAGATTTCAAAGAATTCCAAATTCAAATTATTTCAATTATGATATTCATGAATGTAAATCCCTATTCCCTTTGTTTAGTAGAAAGTCACAATCACATAGTCTCTTCTAAACCATTTAGACCATAATGATATCATCAAAAAATAAATTGGTCAAATATTCTGTCCATTATATATATCAAATTTTACTAAATAAAACTATTAATAAATCTAATCATTTATGTGCTAATATCAAAATAACTCTAATAATTTCACTAATTATTCTGATTAATGACCTAATCTTTCTTCCTATAAATTGTCATTCCATATGAGGGAAACACTTGGAGAGGAAGTCACTTGGGCAGATTACAACACTAAAAATAAATAATTAAGAGATAATTAAGAGGGGATTTAAATATGATTAGGCATGGTTGATGGCTTGATTATGAGGCTCTAATAAGTGTCATGATCAAGTGCACGTCTATAGGAGTGAAGTGGGAATGAGATAACGTGGATGGTATCACATGGGAGATGTGTCTTTGGACGGTTAATCCGGCCAACTATCTCTTCCATTATAATCAATAAATTTTAATATCTGAAAATGCTTACCTTGCTTCATTAGGATCTTATCTATTAAATTTTAAAAAATTATTTACAAGCTGTATATGGAATCTTAGGCTTCGTTTCAGATGACTTTCTTACTGCTTCTTAAAGCGACTTTTTAGTAAAAAATTAACTAGAAAGTTGCTTTGAGAAGCAGTAAAAAAATCGTCCCAAACGGAGTGTTAATATTTGAAACTATGGAGCCATTAGGCTTCTTCTATGGTGGAAATTATGAATTATGAAATATGATAGAGAATGGAAGAAGAGGATTCTAGTTATGCCACTGGTTTTAAAATTGAGAGAGAAAAATGAAACAAAATTCATTGAAATTCGTGTACATTTATTTAGTCATTGTTAAGAGATCTTTTTAGTTTTAATTAAGGGGTAACTTTGAAAAACATATGATTTTAATGTCGAAAAGAATGTCATTAATAATTTTTTTTTGTTTTGTTTTTGCGGGTATCACTAATGATCGATTAGGGGCAACGTTC